TGGACATAGGGCATAACACTTACAGAATGAATGAAATTTCGGCCTCCTGGAGAAGGCCATAAAAATTTTGAGGACAAGCCCATGCGGCAAAGTAAGCGCGGATTGGCGTGATATTTTATGTGGTTGCAAGGTATGAGGAATCGCGGAGCTCTTTTGAGAGTGCTATAGCAAAACTTAGGGCAAATGGTGAGAGGAAATCAGCATTCTTCGGGAAGGTAGTATCGCTAGACGAAATGATCTTCATGGATTTTTTGTTGATATTTCGTCACTCGTTTCCCCAGAGGCTTAGATAGAATTTACTCTCTCTCAGGCGATATAATAGATAGGCTTTCAGACCTCACTTATTCAAATGCTGAATTTTGTTGGTGTCGTAACACATAAATCCTGTCCTCTTGTAATAAGTAAGAAATATTTTAGCTTCAAAAACATTAAGTTAATATTAAAGTATTTTATAAGAACTATGGGTTAAAACTCCTTGGAGCTTAAATACCTCAGCATTTGGACTAGTTCAAAATTCAGTTTCTTGGTTGTCTTGACTCTTGAGATTAGTGATGTAAAATACTTACCTTCTTTGGCAGTATTTTGAAGAATTACTTTTCGAACAGTTAAAAAATTTGGAGTCCTAAGTATTGACCACATATATGGTGCAAGAGTTATTATTACATGACATATTTGCATAGTGATCCTAGGCTTTGCGCTCATGGCATCAGCATAAGAGATGCTGCTGCTAATACCTTGGCGTCAGATACTGCTACGAATGCATCTGAATTCTGATTAGGACCCTATTGGGAATTGTAATCCAAAGCGGTGTCTGTAATTGAGCTCTAATTTCAAATCAGTAAGAATCTTGAAATGGAGAAAGTATGTATCAAATGGATTTACTTGTCTTTCTCAAGCATGACATGATATGATGCATCATCAGTAGACATTTTGGATGTCCTGAGAGTATGCCTGTGTTAAGGCTTTTTTTTTTAAGCCATGTGTAGGTTGATGCAACCCTGATTTGACAGTTTTTTCTGTAAATCTCCAGAATTGAAGATGCAACAGAGATTCTTGAGTTTGTTCTTAAATTGAGAGAAGAGAAGCTTGGAAGCAAATCCAGATTTTAACTATGAGAAGAAAAGGCGAACTGAGCTTTTGAAAGAAACCGGTTGGCATAGGAACAAGAAGGCAAAATCACTTGAAAACCTTAACGACCCTAATTTCAGAATGACAAAGAAAGAGACGTCAAGAAAGTGGTCTTGTTTTGGGCACAGAAGTTGATGGCCGGTAATCTTCTCCCAGGCCCTTCTAATTCTCACACATATCCAGTTACGTAGAAGATTGTGCATAACATTGAAGCTGTAGTTTCACAAGGCCTCCCATTTCATGGGTCTTTGAGAAGCCAATTTTGATGTGATGTTGAATTCTGTGAACGAAATTTATTTCCTTTCTTCCACCGGAGTTGATTTCAGCCTACCGATCAAATAATAATTTGAGCTGTCCCTATTTGTACTTTACAAATTATATAGGAACATTAGCTTTTGTGCCTATCCATATAAATCATGCAATAGGCCTTACACATCGGTATTAATGTCATTGTTTTAGCTTGACTTCATGTTTGTTCCTTGTGTTAAGATAATTATTCTACAGTATCAAGGACAAAACTGTTTCTCTAATACTCAAAAATTAACAAAATTCTTAAATTATTAAGGGTCGTAATCAAAATTTATACTTACACATGAAATCGTCCCAAGACTGCAAGATTTTCCTATGAGCTTACTATGCAAAATCCTATTTCTCATTCACCCGAACTGTCGCAGGAGCTCCCAATATTGACCATAATATCATCAACAAACAGTCTGATTATATTGCTACCTGATGATCTCGAAATATCAATGCATTCCTGCAAGTCAGCATCGCAGGTAATTGGAACCCACTCCTGATCATCGTCCAAGTACTTGATATCGAATGTGCCAACCTCTAACTTCAGCCTCTTTGTCACTTCCTCCTTTAAATTGGTAATGCCCAGGCCTAAAGAGAGTCGAAACCTAATA